TGGAGAGGACATGCTGGCGCCGGTGAGGCCCGCACGCAGGGCTGGACGCACCACTCTCCAGGGGGCGGCCGGCGAGGGCAGGGCGAGCCATTCCCGAGGGACGGGGTGGTCGTGGGAGAGGCCAGCCCCGGAACCCATCCGCACCCAGCTGATGTCCCAGCTGAACCTCTGGAGAGCTGGGGTGTCTCTGGACACACGTGGCAGGGGACCATGGGCACTGGTGGCCTTGGCAGCTGCGTGAGCCCCAGAGCAGCTTGGAAGCAGGAAGGGGGGTGTGCACTCAGAGGGACAGCGTCCCGGCGGGGGCGGGGAGGTGGACAGGGACCTGCGACACGGACCAGTTTCTCTTTTGTGGCCATGCACAGATCGTTCCTCCTGAGACTTTAGCTCCTCTTGTGAGCTGTTTCTCAGGCTAGAGACACAGGTGGTCCATGGCATCCTTCCTGCCGCTCGGGGTTCATGAGGAGTCCAGAAAACGTGAGGTGTGGGAATGAGACCGGGGCTACTGCCCTCCTCGCTCCTTTCTGCTGGGTATAGACCTAGTTGTCCACTTTCTACAGCAGAAGAGGGCTGTCTACTCGGGGGAGGCCCAGGGGCAAAGGTGATGCCCCATCTAAGCAACTTCCCTTCTTCCCCTCAGCACCGCTGGCTCCGGGGGACCCCGGTCTGACCACCAGCATGGAGCTTGGGCCAGCCACCGACACCTTCGTGCTGGAGCTGCGATGTCTACAGGATGGGGGCCCAGGGCCCAGCACCTTCTCAGGTGAGGGGCTGCAGGGGCCTGGGGGACCAAGACATTTCTAGGGCCCCAGCAGGGGTCCTTAGGCCAAGCTTGTGGCCAGGAGCAGGGAGCAGGGCGCTGGAAGCTTCCAGTCTGGCCAGGTATTGGCTCGGTGGCAGCAGGACCACATGTGCACGTCCAGCAGAGTCTAGCGGCCTTAGCGACCAGCAGGCATGCCTGATAAAGTGTTGCTGTGAGGGGCTCTCTAGTGGGGCTGACATTCTTGGGCCCAGGGCCCAATGTCCAGTATAGACTGCCCGGGACCTTTCTGGCCAGTGGCCTCCAGCAGCCACCCACCAGCCTCCAGGGACAAGCCTGCAGACCCAGTTCCTCTGCTCTCTCACCTCTGTCCCTGCTCTGCTGACTTTGCCCACCTCCTTCTTCCTCCAGATGTGACCTTCACCTGCCCCTCCCAACCTCCTCTACTCAAGCCAGAGCTCTTTTAGGCCAGTCCGTCCATAATGGGAGCTGACTGAGCATCAGGGCTCCAGAAGGAGGGCACCAAGGACAGGGCTGGCCAGAGCTTAGAAGGATCCAAGGGAAGTGGAGGGGGTCAGATAGGGGCCACGGAGCCTTGTGATGTGTGAGTTTAACTGAAAAGCCTTTTCAGAGGTACAAGTGCCTGATTCCACTCCTTTACTGAACGCCCCCACCTTTACTGAAACACCTACACTCCACATGCTGCAGGGAGTTAGGAGTGGCCGGCACCCAGCCTGCCAAGGACTGTTCTAGAAGGGTGGAGATGCACACAACACTGCCATCCATTCCCGCTGTGCCCAGAGGCAGCAGCAGAGGGGAGTGTCTGTAGGACTCTGGACTTGCTCGGGGAACCTGTTTTCATGGCTGCCTGCGCCACAGCCTGATTCTCCCGGGTGCTGTGTGTGGAGGAACTGGACCCCTGGTACATCCTCAGCACAAGTTATTAGGCATGTTTTTCTAAAAGGAAATGATAGATAGTATCATTCCCTGTCGGAGCCCCAGTGGTGAGTGAGTTAACCTGCTGGGCTGTTAACCTAAAGGCTGGTGGTTCCAGTCCACCAGCTGCTGTGCAAGAAGAATGTGGACACTCACCTCTTGGCAAGATTTACAGCCTCCGAAATCCAGCAGAGGCTTGTGAGGACCCGCCATTGACTGGACAGCAGTGGGGTTGGTTTTCGACTCTTCCTGGTAAAGAAGCTCTCGTGGTGGAGTCGGCTCAGCATCCGTCCGAGCGCCAGCTGCCAGGTGGGAGGTCCACCAGCAGCCCTCCGGGAGCCGAATGGACATTCCGCTGGGAAGACTGACTGCTGCTGATCTGCTGGACGGCTGCTGGGAGTCAGGATGGCCTCGAAGGCAGGGAGTCGGTCCCAAGGACACAGTTTCTCCAGAGTCACTGTTCTTGTTGGTTTCCATGACAAAATTTGAAGTGGAATGCTGTAGGAAGAACAGGGTTCAAATCAGATTTGAGAACTTGAGAGACCCTCGTAGGACCATCCACTGAGAGAAGAACTGGAATGCTCTGGTCACACAGAGTCTTCGGTGGCTGCCGTGTCAGCCTCACTCACTGTGACCCCGTGCAGGACAGGATGAGATGCTGCTTGGTTCCACGCTGTCCCTGGAGCTGACTGTGGGCCACATCTTCGTGGGCCACAGTGTTCTGTCCGCTGGTCTGGAGAGGCAGCACACCAGATCTCTCCTTAGTCCCCCTCCGCCTGGAAGCTCTTCAGAAACCTGTTCAACGGCAGGTTTTACAGAAGCGACACACCTTCCTCCAGGACCAGATGGGGTGGCCGGCCTGCATGAGGTGCCCTGGCCACTGCGTGGGGACACTAACAAGGTCACCTGCGTGAAGACGAGAATTCTTCCATAAAAACTGCCAGCGTGTGCCCCCCCCCAACAGCGCTGTACACGTGTCACTGCTGAGCCCACGTGTGGGACCCAGTAGAACTGTTGGCCTGCCCTCCTGGCTGTTCGGGGCCTGAGGTGCAGTCTGCAGGGAGGCCTGTGCAGCCCCCCAAGGTGGTGTTTCTGCAGGAGAAAGATGGACCCTTCTCCAACTCACTTTACAGTCTCAGAAACCTGATGGAGGATCAACCTTTACTTTGTTTTTACTCCACAGCAATGAGTTGAAGGGTTTTGTTGTTGGTTTTTGCATCTTTACAGAAGCAGGTGGCCAGGCTTCTCTTCCGAGGCACCACCAACATGCAGGTTAGCAGCTGGTTGGAAACCATCTGCACCAACTAAGGACCAGATGGCCAAATAAAAATACTGAAATCTGGAAACCCACTATTAACGTGGTGCAGAAAATGAAAACCAGTGGCCATGGGAGCTGCAGCTCTGCTAGAACCCACTCAGCTCTGGACAGCCTGGGGATACGCATTCTCCCGCTTCCCATACTACCCTGGACAGCTGTCTTCCCCTTTTGCAAAGAAATGCCCCCCCCCAAAATTGAGCCGTTCTCCAGTCACTGTGTTGTTACTGTGGTGTCACGAGGCTCTGAGGGACCTGCCCATCCCACATCAGCCGTCTAACACCCTCCCTTGTGCAGGTTGTCCTGGATGGAGTTAGTTGTGGACTTGGTATTTCCAAGCTGTCACCTTGCAAACAAAACCTGCGGGAGAGGGTTTTTCTAGCACTGACCAGGTTACAGGGACTAAGCCGGGTCCTTCCTGCTGAACTCCCGGGGCTCTGGGTGGTTGCCAGGGATCTGCTGCAGACAGTGCCCTGAACATGCAAGTTAAACGGCTGCTGGCTGGTGTCTGGGATTTGAACAGAGGATCCACTCAGAACCTAGTTCTCTGTGACATGCTGATGACTCTCAGAAACAGCTTCTGTTCACATATCCAGGCCACTTAGGGGGAGTTTGTCTTATTCCAGAAAAGATGAACGTCATCCCTTTAAAGTGGGACCCTAGCTGAGTTCAGAAGTCAGAACGAGGTTGGCTTTGGAAATGCCTGGTTCACTGATTCCCACTAAATGGGAAGTAAGCACCTGGGATGAGTTAAGGAATGATTTGGGGGAGACTCAGGGCCTGAGATAGTGCAAGTAGCACACTGAGAGCTTGGGGCCCAGGTAGAGGGGTGTTAGGAGGAGGCACAGGGTGCTGGGCCCCATGACCAGTGACCCAGAGCCCTCTGGGTGCATTTCCAAGCCTTCCACACCTTCCTGTGGTTTCAGTTTCTGCCCTGTTGATTCAGAGCTTTGGAGTCCGCACTTCAGAGTGGGGAGGTCTTAGGACGTCTTTGGGTGACTGTGCAGGGGGCGGTTGGACCGGAGGGCTCCTGGAGAGCTTTCTCCCCCAGCTTCCTGCCATTTCCTCTACAGGTGCCAGCGGTGGGAGTGAAAGCCAGGAGGAAGAAGAGGGTCAGGAGGGGAGCCACAGCCCACAATGGCCAGCAGTCTCAGCCCCAGCGCGGACCAGTGAAGTCACCGTGGCTGCCCAGTCAGGACAGCTGCAGCTGCCAGAGCAGCAGCCCCCAAACCAGCTAGTAGGACATCAGCCAGAATTACAGGAACCACAGCAGGTACAGTTACAGCAGCACTTACAACAACAGGAGCCCTCGCAGCCGCCGCCAGAACAACAGTCGTTGCAGGAAGCGTTGCAGCAGCAGCACATGGGAGAGCGGCAGGTATTCCAGCAGCAGCAGGGACAGCTTCCGAAGCAGCTGTTGTTACAACCAGAGCAGCCATTGCAACAGCCGGAACCATTACAGCAACTGCAAGAGCAGAACACGAACACCTTACAACAGCCGATACAGTTACAGCAGCAGCTTCTGCTACCACCGCCAGAGCCACAGTTGCAACAACAGCAGCATGTGCAGGAACAGCCACAACAGATACAGTTACAGCAGCGACTGTTGCTGCAGCCACCACCAGAGCAGCAGTTGCAACAGCCGGAACCCTTACCGCAGCTGCAGGAACAGCAGTTGCTGTCAGCACCATTGCAGCAGCAGCACGCCCAAGAGCAAGTGCTTCAACAACAGCAGATACAGTTACAGCAGCAGCTACTGCTGCAACCACCGGAGCAGCAGTTGCATGAACAGCAGCTATTGCAGCAGCAGCAGGAACCATTACAGCAGCACCATGCCCAAGAGCAGCAGGTACAGTTGCAGCAGCAGCTGCTTCTCCAAGAGCAGCAACTGTTGCAGCAGCAACACGGGCAGTTGCAACTGCAGCTGCTACCACAGCAACAATTGCAACCACAGCAGCTGTTACAGCAGCAGGAACCTTTACAGCAGCAACTGCTGCAACAGCAGCAGGAGCAGCTTCAGCAACAGCTGCTGCAGCAACAGCAGCTGCAGTTGCAGCAACAACAGCTGTTGCAGCAGGAGCAGCTGCAGCCTCGAGCAGCAGAGCCTGAGGACGAGGAGGTGGAGCTGGAGCTCCTGCCCGTGGACCTGGGGACAGAGCAGGAGCTGGAGAGGCAGCGGCAGGAGGAGCTGGAGCGCGAGCGGCAGGAGGAGCAGCGGCAGTTGCAGCTCAAACTGCAGGAGCAGCTGCAGCAGCTGGAGCAACAGCTGGAGCAGCAGCAGCAGCTGGAGCAGCAGGAGGTGCAGCTGGAGCTGACCCCGGTGGACCTAAGTGCGCAGCCGCAGGAGGTGCAGCTGGAGCTGACGCCGGTGCAGCCGGAGCTGCAGCTGGAGCTGGTCCCTGCGGGGCCGGGGGCCGTGACTGCGGGGCGGGCGGCGCCAGCCGCAGTGGTCGTGGCCCCTCCGGGCTACGTGGTGCTGCAGGAGCTCATGGTGCTGCCGGCCGTGGCCACGTCTGCGGTGGTGGCCATCCCAGGCCCGGCGGGCAGCGCGGCCCTGACGCCGG